CTTTAAAAGTAGATTGACAACCCAATATATTTTACCGCTGGCTAGTGAAGGTGATGTTTTGGCTATTCCACCTGCGACATATACAGATGTCATAAATGTTGAAGATTGGATAAATTTTGTTCAATATCGAGTTTCAAAAGATTTTTCGGTATGCAAACCCATTACTAAATTAGTCCAAGTTTATAAATCTTTATGCAATATAGCCTTTTCATCTTCATATGTAATTGACGTAATTTTTTGATTTTGTAGAAAATCAAAGAACAACATTGAGACATTCAGGCCAAACAACAAGAAAAAGATATGCAAATATGAAGTATGAGCTTATATGTATTCGCACACTTATTTTATACTCATTAATGAATATTTATGAACATTCATTTCATACATTTTGATTCTTTTATTACGGTAATTTAATAGGAATTAGTGAGCTCAAATATAAAAGTTTCTAGATGGGATGTCTAAAAACAAAGACATCTATGAAAGGATGAATCCTTCACAGATGAAGTAACCGAGGAAATGATAAAAAAGATTGTATGTATAACTATTTTTTTGATATAATATATGATTGGCATTGTGGTTGTATGCATGAGTGTATACTAGCTTGTGTAGATTTATTCTAACAGTCCAACTTATTATTGTCTTTTAGGATAATTATACCGTCAAAGTAAAATTTGGTAAACTGGTAACCCAGTATGATGAAGATCCTTTGTCTTTAGCATTAGGCATGAAAGAAAGGCCTAGTTAGGTTTGTGGGGTTGGTAAATTTGTCTTGCCATCAATGTATTTTGGTAAACAACCAAAAACCCCACGAATGAGAAATGCACAATATGAAGCAATAATTGAGCAACAACAGCAACAAATTAATGATCAGGAACAATGCCTTAATGACCAATAGCAAATACTTGCTGCTTTAGAGTCCATGTTGGTAGCAATGCAGCAGGTTATGCCAGTACCTCGACCTGATAGCATCGTCCTTGTACGAGAAGCTTCCATTACAAGTAAAAAAGCCATCCCATCATTCGCTACCATCCAAGAAGTATGATATTGTTTATAATTTGAATATTAATTTGTTTATTATATTGATTGATTTAGTTTTAATACTTATATTTCATTAAATATTGTAGGAAGATGTTCAGACTCAAAGTTTGACCCTTGTCCAGGCTTTCATGGAAGAGTTAACAAAATATTCGCTGAAAAATTATACTGGTGAAAACTTTATATCCATTGAATCTGAGAAAGACTTATTTGATAAACATTCATTTTCTTTCATTGGTGTGGATGGGGTGAAAGAATTTTATGAAATGGATGAATTATCGCTACTGAAATCGTTGCTTATATGAGGTTAGCTTATAAATACAAATATGCACATTCAATATATAGTAAGTTAGTATTATGGTGTAATACTAATCAGTAGTGTTGATTGTTATCATGTAGCTTCCTATATAGAGAGTTGAAGGGGAGACAATTGACGAATGATTTAGATTCATTGACCTCAACTTCATTAGTGAGCAGAGTGGCACAGTTGTGTATCGTGCTAATCATGTGATCCTATACATGAAAAGATCGACTGATTATTATTTACTCTCATATAATGCGCTGTAAGCTATATTCTAACCTTAATTACTCCAACCTACTCCTTTCTATGATCTAATACGTATTCTGAGTATATCATTGTTATTATTTTACAATCGTTATTGAGTGCTTATTGTGATTGACACGAAATCCTTAACGCCATACTATCTTAATTCAGTTAATCTAACGACGATGCCTAATCCTGATATTCAAACTTTTATAAAGAGGTATTATAGTACTTTATTATATTATATATGTTTTATTCTTTTATAAGAAATTTTATTTATGTTCCCACTAATTTTTTCTTTTCAATTTAGAGTAATATCTGTATTCAATAAGAAGATAAAGAAACAAAAATGGGTGTTATTACCGGTAAATGTCAAATTTATTCTTTTAATGCTGAGTTTATTTAGATAAATATTTTTTAAACCGACTCAATTTAATTTTTAGGTACCCTGTCAACCTAGGAATGTTGAATGTAGATATTATGTCCTTTGTTTTATGCGAGAGATAGTGTTACATGATTTTATGACCACACCATTCAAGGTTAGTATAAATTTCATAAACTCGTTATATATTCAAAAAAAAAATGGTACATTATGTTCTCATTTCTTAACATTTACTTTTAATTTTTTTTTTTTTAGTGGGAAGGTAAAGAAAGCTTCACGAAAGAGGAGCTAGATGAAGTTTGTAAAGAATGGTGTGATTATGCATTGCATTTATCAATGTTGATAAACCTTCAGGTTAGACATTGTTGGTTGAATGTAAATATATATGGAACAAATTGTTATAATGTTTTTAACATGCTATGTTGAATGAAAAGTTTAAGTTTGTACATTGGGGGTTTTGGTTTAATATTATTGTTATATTTAATATGAATACACATGTGTACTTAATAAATTACTGAGTACGATTATTTCAGAAAAGTATATTAATATGGCAATGTTATCAATTTTAATTTCGGATGTGTGGTCAATTTTTTGAAATACAATAATATTTATTATGCAAATTCCAAAATGTAATTCATAATATTAGATATATAAACCAAATGTTTTCTGGGCATAAATATACAACTGACAGCAAATATGTTTTTGGGCATGAACCTACAACTAACTTCACAAATAAAGTATCAATTATGTTTTTTTGATGTGATTAATGAAGGCATTTTCCTAACAGAAAAACATTGAAGGCATTTTTTACCAAAATCGCTTTCAATAATCCCCCCAGGAATTATTGTCTAAAATATTAAAAGCATTTAGGACAAAAAACGCCTTTAAGAATATCAACTAAAAATTAATCAAATGGATTACAAATGGCGTTTTCCTATGAGTAACATCTTCAATAATCCTTAATAAAATGTTTATGAAGGCGTTTTTGGATATAGTCACCTTCAATAATTCAACCATTAAAATTTATCGTTGGGAATATTAAAGGCGTTTCAAGCCAAAAATACCTTAAACCATCCAAGTTTTGTCTATGGAATATTGAAAGTATTTCTTACAAAACCGCCTTTAAAAATAAAAAAAAATTTACTGATTGGATTATAGAATGCGAGTTCGACTAAAAATGCCTTCAAGAATTGACTCCATATTTTTCCTATCGATAGTAAGGGCGTCTCTCCATGAAAAATGCCTTTAATATTCTATGAAAAATTTTTTAAAGCAATTGGTGAAGGCATTTTTGCCAAGAAAATGCCTAGAATAATTAATAACAAATAATCTATGCCTAAACCCAAAAAAAGGCTAAAGGACGGATTGAACCAACAACCTTACGGTAAACATCCGTATAATCCAAACAATTTTATAAGCTTAATATTGAATGTATTTATGAAGAAAATAAATTCAATAAGCCTGGAGGAATTTTTGGTCCAAATATTAAAGACATTTCTTGTAGACAATGCCTTCATTAATCTCATACAAATTTTTATGATGTAATTATTAAAGGCGTTGTCTGCAAAAAATACGCCTTAACTATTCATCAAAATTTTTAACAAAAAATATTCAAGGCGTTTTAGTCGAGAAACGCTTCTAATATCAAATCTTGGGTGACGTTTATAAGTAACAACATCGCTATTTGAATATTTAGTGACATTTGGATAATAAACGCCTAAAATTTTATAAAAACACGAAAGCCAGCGACGTTTATGAGTGAAAGGCCACTACAAAACTGTCATTAATACACCATTTTGCTGTAGTGATTATGTTTTAGTGACGTTTATCTAATAAATGTTGTTAATTTTATACTAACATATTAGATAGCAATGTTTGTTGGGAAACACTGCTAAAAAATTGCCACCAAATTTCTATTTTTTTTTATAGTGAAAGTATGAAGATTCAAGAATCTTGAATTGTGACTAAATTACAAAAATGATAAGAATCCCTAAATTAGTATCAAATTCCAAGAATCCCTAAACTAAAACTAAATTTTAAATTACTAAACATGACAAAATTTCTAAAATTTTAAGAATCCTTAAATTTGAAATCAAAATTTGAAAAGTTCTTAAATTTTGAGATTAAATTCCAAGACTCCAAAGGAACCCTAAATTTGGATCCAAATTTATACAATCCAAGAATAAGTCATCAAAACATTTGAAGTGAATTTTTGTTGAAGAAAAGAATCAAATGATTTTTTTTTTAATTTTCAGAGATTATACTCCACATTCTTAATAAATTGAAATATATTATTTGATTTTAAATTTTTCTTACTTTATTTTTAGATGTGAAATTTATGTGCAAATATTCAATCAATATCGTGACATTTAAAACTTAAAATTCTCAAACTAAGCTTTCCTAACTTGCCTTATTGTTATTGCTTTAGTCTTTTGCTTAAGCCATAAATTCAACTTGCACTAATATAGTTTGTTTGATTACATGATATTTAAACTTGTGAGATATCACGGAGTCAAGCAGTACTATACCTATTTAGCATATTTGTCTAAATCATATGATTTGGTTGTTTCTTAGCATGCAGCTTGCATGAACCTTTAAAGAGTGATAATTTGTAATATAAAAATTAAGTTTATATTCTTAAACCTACTTGTAAGTTCTATTAGCTATCAAGCCTGGCGTCATTTAAGCTTAGAACTTATATTATCAAGCTTGATAACTTGTAATCTAAAAGTTTAAGCTTGTCTACTCGTAAATTTGATAAAGCTTAAATTATCAAGTTTGATTGAAGTTATCAGTCTTGGCACCTTTCAAGCTTAGGAGTTATCAATCTTAACAACTTTTACAAGTTTGAGACTTAAAAAGTTTGTCAAGTTAATACCTCACAAACTAAAACTTGAAAAAACAAAAGGACATTTTAGTTATAATGCTCAAAAAAGAGGATCAATGGTGCAATTTCCCAAAAGGAAACAAAAGAAGAAGAGTAAAGTAGCCTCTCTGTCCAGAGAACAACAGGTTGTCTCTGGGTTGAGGTTTTATAGCATTCGGTTGACTCTCGGGCAGCAGCTTCGTTCTACTTTCTACTTTTGTACGGCATTTTAGATTCTGTTGTCCGATCTATCATCAATCATTTCCTCACAACGCCAAAAAAGCCAAGCCCAAATGAAAGGCGTGGCTCAGGTATTAATAATAATAATGGAGTAATTCCTTCTATTTCTTTCATTTTCCGCACAATTTGCTCTTTTTTCATATATTTACTTTGTCTATTTTGTGTTCGCACGTTGTTAATGGGAGAGAAATTGTCTTCTTCCTCATATATCATCCAAACCCTATACGTCGCCTTCATTAATTGATAATTTGCATTTAACATGTGCGGAAACTAACCAATTGTCAGATAAGGAAACCCATTTTGGAAACTTTGCAAACGAATTAACAATCAATGTCAAATAAATAGAAATTTAATATCTTTATTAAAACACTTTTGTTCAGTTGGTATCTCAATATTTGTTTCTTTATTTGTTATCTTGAATCTGACTGACTTTGCTCTGATCTTGATATGGAAGCAATTAGGGAAGTTTCCCATGGCCCTCAAGCTTCGGGTCAACCATCTGGTGGCTACATAACTCCACAGAATCAGCCTGCTTCAGTATCACAAACTATTGTTGATGAGAAACATCAGAGCTGTGAAGAGGATGAGGTAATCTGTCTGGTTTCAAGCGGTTATCAGTTCTCCGGTTGTCATTCAGTTTCATGTTTTTGCTACTTGCTTTTATTACGTTAGTTGCTTTCTGATTCCTCAAAAGTTGCTATAAAATGAGAATAAGCAAGAAATTGAAAGCAAGCTTATGATAATTGGTTAAAAATAAGAGAATGGCTAAAATATAACAGTAATACCAACATGATTTTTTTTTTTTTTACATATATATAAAGAGTAAAATCATGGATTTGTTATCTAAGAAAATGATCGTTTTAATTGTTAATTCTTGAAATTACTTTTCATCCCAGTGAGAGTGAAAAAGTAAAAACTAAGGTTTTTAGGTGCACACACCCAAGAGAAGAGGAACATCGGAAGCTTAGATGAGTGGCTGACCTCTCTTTCTCTTTATTAGCTTTACAAATCCTTTCTTTATAAATCTGCATAGTTTTCTCTAAATCTACCATTTCTTATAATCACTTGGAAGCTGCAAGGAGTGTTATATGTACTTTTGTTGAAATGGCAACTCCATTTTCTGCGTTTTAAACTATGAGTTGCAGGGTTATAACTATCTCAACAAATGGTTTATGTTGATTTTTTTTTTTTACAATTTCCGTTGAATTTCTTAGTTCATCAAAGTTGCTGATGACCATCTCTAATTGATGTGCTTTTGTTTCATATTGCAATATGCAACTGAGTTTTGGCTAGCATGAAGCAATTTTATTTTTTGACAGTTTCATCTACTTTCCAAATGCCTGAAAACCATGTATTTACTTCCACCATTTTTCATGGATTTGCATGAAGCGTATTTACTTTAATATTTTCTTTGAATTTTGTTCTTTCTGCTTTTGAACTAAGGATAAAAGAAACCAAATTGCTTTTTTGCTGAGAACTTGATTCTCGTGCAGAAGTTGAGGCACTCAACAAACAGGATAGGTTCTGTTGCAATGGGCGAGTATGATGGCGCTGAATATGTTAACATTGGTGAAGTGCCAAATCCCAGGATAGATAACTTTAAGAAAGTATCAGTTTTGCCCCTTATTTTCCTGATCTTTTATGAGGTTTCTGGAGGTCCATTCGGCATTGAGGACAGTGTCCAAGCTGCTGGACCATTTCTAGCTCTTCTTGGGTTTTTGGTGTTTCCATTCATCTGGAGTGTCCCTGAGGCATTAATTACTGCTGAGATGGGTACCATGTTCCCTGAAAATGGTGGTTATGTTGTTTGGGTTGCATCTGCATTAGGTCCCTATTGGGGGTTTCAGCAAGGCTGGATGAAATGGCTGAGTGGGGTCATTGATAATGCTTTATATCCTGTTTTATTTCTTGACTATTTAAAGTCAGCAATCCCTGCTTTAGGAGGTGGTTTACCACGAATCATAGCCGCGCTAGCTCTGACTTTAGTGCTCACTTATATGAACTATAGGGGTTTAACAATTGTAGGATGGGTTGCTGTTCTTCTTGGGGTTTTCTCGATCCTTCCTTTTGTGGTCATGGGGCTTGTGGCAATTCCAAAATTGAAGCCTTCAAGATGGTTTGTGGTAAATATACATGACGTAGATTGGAATTTGTATTTGAACACACTCTTTTGGAATCTAAACTATTGGGACTCAATTAGTACACTTGCTGGAGAGGTAGAGAACCCAAAGAAAACTCTCCCAAAAGCCTTGTTTTACGCTTTGATCTTGGTGGTTCTTGGGTATTTCTTTCCGCTTTTGGTTGGTACAGGGGCTCTTCCCCTTGATCGTGATTTGTGGACTGATGGTTATTTCTCAGACATTGCTAAAATACTAGGTGGAGTTTGGTTGAGATGGTGGATCCAAGCAGCTGCAGCAATGTCAAATATGGGGATGTTTGTGGCTGAGATGAGTAGTGACTCTTTCCAACTTTTGGGGATGGCTGAACGTGGGATGCTACCCGAGTTCTTTGGCAAGAGGTCTCGCTATGGAACTCCTCTAATTGGGATTTTATTTTCAGCTTCAGGTGTCATCTTGTTATCATGGTTGAGCTTTCAAGAGATTGTAGCTGCAGAGAACTTCTTGTACTGTTTTGGGATGATTTTGGAGTTCATAGCATTTGTAAGATTAAGGATGAAATATCCAGCTGCACAGCGACCTTACAAAATACCTCTTGGAACAGTTGGGTCTGTTCTTATGTGCGTTCCTCCAACCATATTGATTTGTGTTGTCTTGGCTCTTTCTTCACTCAAAGTTGCAGTGGTTAGCCTTGTTGCTGTTGTGATTGGCCTTGTAATGCAGCCCGGTCTCAAGTACGTTGAGAAAAGAAGATGGCTCAAGTTCTCTATTAGTGCAAACCTTGCTGACCTGCATGTTTCTGGTCATGATGTCGCTGATTCCTCAATAAGATGACAGATCTTCATTAAAGCTCCAAGGGAAAGTTCGTCAATTTCAGAGGCCTTGTCCTTGTACTTAGGAAGGTATTTATTTAATGGAAACATTCCTGAATGCTGTGGTATTCTGTTTGAATTAGCCCAAGGCTCGGTCACTAATGGGCAACAATTATTTATCATCTTTGTTTTTAGAGTGATGATGCATGGAAACAATGATTGAACAAATAGACATAATTGATATAAAAATAGTAATATGATTGGAGAAAAACTGAGTTTAGTTTTTTTTTTAACCAAGAAAAGTGAAAAATGTTTTTGATATTAACAAATATATAACTCAACATTATATTTTGCACATAAGAAATTTAATAAAAATTAAAATCTAACTAATAACTTTGTTTAAAAATATAGCAGGTTACAAAATGTAAAAAAAAAAATTTAAAAGGGTTCCCTCAAAAAATAAAATAAAGGGGTGTTAGAAATAAAAGAATAAAAAAAAAAAAAAAGAAAGTTGTATCTATAATTAATTTTGCATGTAAAATATAGCAATTAAATTTCTTTTGTCAGCAATAATTATTGTCAGTGTATTTATTAGGAGAAAGGGTCATTTCCACTGTTTACAAGTGAAAGTAGCGAAAAATTTCTTTCTTTATCTAAAAGTTAATAATGCACTTCCACTTAAATTTATTTTATCTTTTTAATTAATTTTTATATAAAATTTTAAATCATTAAATATTATCATATATTTAGGTTCACATTTAAATAATGCAAACTTCTTTTTGTTTTTTTTTAATTAGTGAAACGATCTTCTCTTGTTTATTTGACTACTTGAAGAGAATTCATAGTTTGAAGAGCTAAAAGTCAAAGAGTTATCGTGCTAAAAGCCTGAAAACAAAAAATGTCCAAGAAATCAAATTGGTAATAGATTTTTTTTTTTTTTAAAGTAATAATTTGTTTGGTCTAGCTGGAACTTTTATCGACAGTGTTGATTGAGTAGAGTTACTCGAAAAGTGGTGTAAAAAGAAAATAATTGGAAAACTAAAAGTAAAAATGCTGTAAAATTTAGATTTGATTATATTTTTTGGCCAATAAAAAGTAGGAATTGTTGGATTGTTATCACTTTGTCTATTTTCTATTTTTTTTATCCTATAATTAAATCACCAACAAAATATTAAAAACAAAAACCGTTTACGTGTACTTTAAAACTATAATTTAAATAATATAATACATATAAATTATACATTAAAATCACATTGTCACTGCCGGTGTAGATAATTTGATGGGTAATAGCATAGTTGAACAAAACAAGTGGTACCTTTGAACAAACAGAGGTTATGTAATCTCTACCAAAAATAAACTGACCTACACACTCTGTACACAAACAATTACAGGAAAAAAGCCACCAGCACCACCCTCTTGCCAATCTCTCCGACTTAGATAAACATGGCATCCTAGAAATACTCTTTAGACAATAGCAGCTGAGTATAGTACCTGAATTAGCCAAAGGAAATGTAGAGCTTGATGGATTCCGCTGAAATTTCACAATGCTCTTCCGGTTGCAGTAGGACAGATCGGTAAATGCAAAAGTGAATTATTTATATGACAATACCTCATTAGCCCATGTATCCATAATCCTATCATTCTAGAAATTATCTGAGGATGTCAACTCTGTCAATAACATCCAATGCTTTCTCTTTGTACATGCCAAAACCAACGATGTGAACCCCAGAAGGAAGCCTTTTAGTAGGGGCTTTTTCCTTGCTTTCTCTTGGAGGAGAGTGGCTCGTACTCTTGCTCAGTCGATCATTCTTTCTCAACCTCCTCTCAGAGTCAAAATCCTGACTTCTGCTACTCCCATGAATTCGTACTTTCTTAGTTAAATCCCGTAGCAACTTCTGGTCTTCTGGTGTTAGAGCAGTGGTAGGCTCACCTTTGGCCTGCTCACTCATCTTCTGTGACGGTGTAATTAGGGTTTTGATAGATGTCTTCAAGCCAAGAGGGACACCTGACTTCGATTGGTTGACCAAATGATGGAGCCACAACAGTTGTTCAAGAATATAGGTCTCTGTTTTCTCTTTATCGGCATGATAGAGTGTCTCAATCCGAATCACATCAGCTGGCCCGGTTGAAGGTTTCCTGTTGATCTCAGAACTGTGTAAAAAAAACAGTCAATGTCTTCTTTCAATACAGCATATTTTGCAGATTTCAACAGCCAAAAAAGAAAGGAACAAAGAGGGTGAAGGGAAACCGTATTGTTACTCACCCTGTGTTTGCCCACTCCCCAACCCAACCAAAACCATGATGGGCTCTGTTTAAGTGCAACCAAAGCAACAAAGATGATTAGAAGGGTAAACAAAATGAGAAACAGTTAAAAAAAAAACTAAATAAAAGAAATGAAGAGATGGAAGCTTGTTGTTTGTGAAAAAGCTGGTCATCTTTGGATCCAGAGAGAAGAAAATAGGATAGCCATCTTACTTGGCTGTGTTAGTGGCTACTGGAACAAGCCACTGCAGTGTCTTCTCCATCTCATCTTTGACTTCTGTAACAGTAAGCTGCAGAATTCCGTATAAACAGATTAGATGGTAAACAAACTGACATCGATTGCTGGTCAGTTCTAATTAAAGCGCTACTTGGTTGTGCAAGAAACAGCAAAAGAAACGTCTGTCACTCCCTTTTGGTTTTTGAGCTATTACTTTATTTTTAGAAAGCAGCATCTTCCCTTCAAAAAAAGAAATTGACAAACGATGGACTACCTCTGCTTTGACATGAAAAGATCGTAATTTCGAGCGTAGAGCAGATTTTATGGAGGGTGGCAAACTCTGGTATAATGCATCCCTTGTATTTGCAGGCATAGAACTTGATCGGGCTACCTGATGGACATAATTGTAACAGAAGGAAGTTTTGAAAATGCATATCTAAAAACTTGAAGCAAAATCAAGAAGACTAAGTTAAAAATGAGTCATTTGATTCTTCTAAAACAAACTACATATAATCAGTGCATCATATACAATAGGTAAAAGAAAATCTAATTAAACTATTAATGTAATCTCATTGATACCTTAGTCATGCAGGGCCTTAGCCAGACTTTGTAGTTCGTATGAACCATTCCAGTGATGCAGGATACAAGCAAGCAGAAGATCAAGCTCCTCATATTTTATTAAAATTTATTATTGTTATATCCATTAAAATTTATATTAGAAAAAGGACAATTATTCTATCAGTTACTTAGGATAAGACCATCTTTCCCATGCATACTTTTTTATCCTTTTGCAATAGCAACCATGCATGAATGCATGCATGCACATTGACACATGTATGCATGTATAGATACATACACATGCATGTCTGTATATATCTAATGGCTTGGACAATTTTTTGTTCATCCTCATTTTCTTTTAAACTGCAGGTTCATTTAGTTAAGTTAAAAATAATATCAGCATGCATGAAATGTCACATGTCATGCATACATATAAGGAGCAGTTCAAATTAAGGATGCTCTCAGTAAGCTTTAAAATGTCATGTTTCATACTTCGTTATTTTCAGCAATATCAAGATTATCAATGCCAAACAGGAAAACATGCAAGAGAAAAATCAGAGAAGGCAAACTCACAAGAGTATCAATTTGCATAACCATATTTGCATAATGCAAATCAAGGCCAGCAGGTCCCAATCTTTGATAACTGCTCACAGATCCTTTGGCTGATACTTGATACTCTATAGAATTCGAATGAAGAAAAAAACCATCATTGAAACTTCTATATTAATCTATGGATACAGGTTCTGAACAAGGATACTTATATTGCTTGTGATGCAAAAAAAAGGGCAAAATAGGCAATTGCTCGAGTGAAGTAAGGTGTTAATTTCTAGAAGATAGTTAGAATGTACAGGACAAGAAAATTGTATGCATCATGTCCAACAAGCTAAAAGTATAAATTTTGTTTACAAACATTAAACATTTTACTCTATTACATGGCCTACTTTGTTCCCGAGACCAAGATTTATCATAAATAATGTCATAGAAAAAAAAACTCCAAATTTCCTTCACTTCCATCTTTAACGAAAAGTTGTGCATCAATTATATTATTTAACTTTTTATTCCTGTAAATAGAACCAGATTTTTTCCTTTTTGGTTTTAACTATTGAAAGAATAGCTAGCAAAAGAAATTAAAAACTAAAGAAGCCAAAGGATACTTAGTTGGGCACACATTTTGGGCTGCCTTGAAAAAAATGCGCTAAGGCTTAAAAGATGTGCGCCTAATTAAGGTGCTTTGCTTGATTTCCACTGCACCTTATCACCTTGACAACACTAAACCACTTGGTATCAATCATGCTTCCGTATTGTCAATGATATTATGGTAATATTCTACTAATATTCTAGATTGATTTCAATGATATTATTCTAACAATATTCCAGTAATATTGTAGACTGATTTGATATTGATTTAGAGAATATTAAATATTGATTTAGCTGATTATAGGAATTGATTTAATCATTATTTCTATTTATTGTGTTTCTTATTTTGTAACATTTTACTTCTATATAAATAGGCTTTGAGCCTCATTGTAAAATAATAAGCAATTAGAATAAAAGTTTTTATCATTCTCTTCTTTATCATGAAATCAAAACAATTGTATAGTTCATTCCGAAGATGAATCACCTTGGAATTACCAATATTTTCTTGTTCTCATCATTGGTTGATTTTTCTAACTTCAATTTTTTCCTTCTTGCTTCTACACTTCAATTTCTTTGGTTTCTTTTCCTTTCTTCTAAATTCATCTTTTATATTAATACCCATAACTTCTCACATCTCCATTTCTTTTTTTTTCAATCAAAAGCTTAATGGTAGGTATTCAACGAGAGAATGTACAACCAATTTCAATTATCCTTTATGGAAATAACTACAATCGATGGGTTACAGCTATGTGTAGTTACCTAAAGGGAATGAAATTATGGCTTGCTGTTACTGGAGAACACAAAGCACTAGAAAAGAAAGAAGAAGAATCCATTGATAAATTTGTAAATTAATTAGAGGAATGGGAAAGTAAGAATCATTGAATTTTTACATGGTCCACTAACACCACTGTTTCTTCTATCAATGTACATTTTGAGCGATTTGAGCTTGTTAAAGATGCTTGAGATTTTCTTGCCACACAATATAGCTCTACTACCCTTGCTCATCAACATCATATTTTGACCACTTTATCTCACCTTCTATAAGAACCAGGTGAGTCGATTGATGATTTTCATTCTAAAATACAACATTTACAGGACATGCTTGAGAATTTTGAGCCGAAATTCAGACATGAAAGTGATGCTGGCAATTTTATTAATTATTGAAATTAAATTCGTCTTATTCAATTTCTAATGGCATTTTAAGATGAATTTAAGAATAACAAATCTTCACTTTTGTGCCGACACCCTTTAACAACTATGGATAAAGCCCTTATGAAATTGATATCTGAAGAAACTGGGTTGGGTATGAGTCAGACTCATTGGCTAATACTATCGTTACTGCTGCTCCTCAGCAAAATACTAGCTCTACTTTTAATAAGCTTTGTTCACAATGTAGGAGGACTAATCATCCTATTCAGAAATATAAAGCTAACTATCATTGTAACAGTAGTTGAATTCATGATCATTGCATTGACAAGACTGTTACAGCAACAACTACTGAACCAAATACTTATGAGTCTTCTTATGAAACCATTACAATTTCCACCACTAATCTTCAAACCCTATTCAATCATGTATTATACAGGTCACATTCCTGCCATGCCTGCTGCCATATCAGGTAATGTTTGATTGTTTATACTGCTTGTGGAAATCATATAATTGCTTATCATTCATTGTTCAAAAACAAGATACATGTACCTAATGGTCCAATCATTAAAAACAACAAATATATCTATCTTAAATGCTAGACACATTGGTAATATTGAAACATCAATGTTGTGTATATCTGACACTTACCTTGTTCCTAATCTTACCTTAAATTTGCTTTCTGTTGGCTAACTTTGTGGCCTTAGCCTTTATTTGCATTTTTCACAATGATATTGTTGTATTGTGCAGGATCCTCAAACAAGCCAGAAAGTTGGGATAAAGTGTAAGATTGGAACATTGTTTGAGCTTGAAACTTTGAAAATTCTACAACATTAAGATCCTTAAATAAGCCAGAAAGTTGGGACAAGGCGCAAGATTGGAACACTGCTTGAGCTTGAAACTTTAAAATTCCACAACATTTGATTACCACTACTACATCTCAAACAACCAACTCTTCACTTTCTTTATGGCATTCTAGGTTAGGACATACATCTATTTCTCGAATAAAGTCACCGGCTTCCAGTAGTGTCTTAGATAATGTTCCTCATAATATTTTTGATTGCTTCTCTTGTCAACTTAGAAAACAAAGTGTTTTACCATTTAATAAAAGCGATTATATCCCATCTACTCCTTTTGATTTAATCCATTCTAATATTTGAGATCCAGCTCCCACACCAACCTTGGGAGGTTTACATTATGTTGTTATACTTATTTACAATTTCTCTCGTTATACTTGGATATATTTATTCAAACAAAGAATTTAACTTTTCTTAATTTTTCAAGAATTTAATAACATGATACAAACTCAATTTCCTAAAAAAAAAAAAAAAGATCTTTAGGTCTAACAATACTGCAAAATATATAAAAATTAGGTTTCATAACTTGTTAAAGGATGATAAGACTCTTTCTTATAGGTCTTGCCCATATACTTCACAACAAAATGGTTAAGTTGAAAGAAAACATCGGCATATACTTGATAGTTGATACAGTTCATGCCCTTCTCATTTCCGCTTTCCTTGCTTAACACTTTTGGGGTGAAGCTACTCTCATTGCTATTTACACTATTAACTATGTCCCTAAACTATTGTTAAGCATACGGTTTCCCTATGAGTGCCTATAAAATAAGGTACTTGATTACCATTCTCTTCAAGTCTTTGGATGTGTTTGCTTTGTTCTACTTCCTACTCATGAAATGACTAAACCTGAACCTAGAGCTAGATTGTGTTGTTTTTTAGGTTATGGTATAGAACATAAGAAGTATAGGTGTTATGATCCAGCATCTAAATGTCTTCGCATCTCAAGACATATAGTTTTTTGGAAACATAAAAAATTTACTAGTGTGTCCTCATTACATTCACCATGTTCTTCTCCAAGTATTTTTACAGATTTATCTTTTGATTTTTCTTCAAATGAGAAAACTATTATAAGTACCTCTAACTCAAACAGTGATCCATCTTGTTTTAGTCCTACTATGTCTGATATGACTGAGACTCCTATTGATATAGTTGTCCCTTCACCATACAGACAGCCACCACTTCCTCGTTCCACCCAGGTAAGAGAACCTAACACTCAACTTCATGATTTTCACTATTATTATGCTTTAGCCACATTACATGAACCTCACAATTTTCGTAAAGTTGTCTCTAATCTTATGTGGCAACAAGCAATCGAAGAAAAGATTTAGGCTCGAAAAAACTCATACTTAAGATATTGTTGAACGACCTTCTGATAAGTCAATGATTGATTGTGAGTCTAAAAGATCAAGACTCAATCTGATGGGTTAGTTTAACATTACAAAACACGTCTTGTTGCTCGAGGATTTACACAAGAGTATAGCATTGACTACGAAGAGACTTTTGCCCAGTTGCACATCTCACATCTGTTCATTCACTATTAGCTGTTGCTGTAGCTAAAAAGTAGCCAACCTATCAAATGGATGTTAAAATTGCTTTCTTGAATGGTGATCTTGCCGAGGAAGTCTATATGAAGCCACCTCTTGGTTTCAACCTTCCAACATGATCTATTGTCTTCGACACACCCTATATGGTCTTAAGCAAGCCCCTAGAGTTTGGTTCTCAAAATTTAGTACCACTATTGCACAACTTGGTTTTATATCTAGTAATCACGATTCTGCCCTTTTTACACGAACTATTGATAATGGTGCTACTCTTCTATTTCTTTATGTGGATGACATGTATTCGGGGATCCGAAAATTTTTCTTCATTCTAAGTTTAAGATGAAAGATCTTGGTTCGTTGAGTTATTTTTTGGGTTTTAAAATCACTAGTAATTCTACTGACTTACATTTGTCCCAAACAAAGTATGCTTCTAATCTTATTGCTCAAGCAAGTATAACTAATTGAAAGATTGCATCATCACCACTTGAATAGAATTTGAAGTTTTCTCCTTCTGATGGTACACCACTTCCAAACCCTTCTGTGTGTCGAACTCTGGTAGGTAGTCTCGTATACTTGACAATTACTCACTTAGATATTGCCTATACTATTCATTTTGTTAGTTAATTTTTCTCTGTTCCTTAGTCTACTCATTTTGCTGCTGTTCATTTTTCATCTAGTTACTCTTTGGATTTGCATTGTTATTATGATGCTGATTGGGTAGGAGATCTTACTAATCGTCATTCTATCATAGGCTATTGTTTCTTTCTTGGTTCTTCTCCTATTTCTTGGCCAAGTAAGAAACAAAATGTGGTGTCTTACTCTAGCACTGAAACTAAGTATCGAGCTCTTGCAAATGCCACATCAGAACTTCTATGGTTACGATGGCTACTTCAGTATATGAGTGTTTCTCATCACTCTAGTACTCCTATATTTTGCAATAATCAAAGTCTCATTCAGATAGCTCACAATGATGTTTTTCATGAGCATACTAAACATATTGAAATTGACTGTCGCTTCACTCATCACCATCTGCTCGCTCAAACTCTTCGACTTATTCCTATTACCAATGCTAATCAAAAAGCAGATATCTTCACCAAATCACATTTACCTAATCAATTTATTGTCCAAGTTTCCAAACTCAAGTTGACCTTTACATTACCATCTTAAGTTTGTCAGGAGGGTGTCAATGATATTATGGTAATATCCTAGTAATATTCTTAATTGATTTCAAAGATATTATTCTAGTAATATTTCAGTAATATTCTAGATTGATTTGATATGATTTAGAGAATATTAAATATTGATATAGCTTATTATAATAATTGATTTAGTCATTTTTATTTATTGTATTTCTTATTTTATAACATTTTACCTCTATATAAATAGGCTTTAAGATTAATTGTAAAACACAAACAATTATAATAAAAGTTTTTATTATTCCCTTCTTTATTATGTATGATTTAAATATTCAACACTTAACAAAATAGGAATATTAGTTGAATGAGTACATACCAACACTTCCAAAGGCAAAGTGGATCTCCAAGATTAAGTGATGGACAATAACTACAAGTTTCTCCATGGCCTACAACCAAAATTATAGGTTGAACAAGTAGCATTATCAAGTTCTTTTCCACATTAAACATTTTGGGAAACTAACAATTAGTCAATAGTGCTTTCTACTTTTCTAATGGGCAAAAATATTAGTTAGAGAGAAAGAGAGAAATAGAGAGAGGACATATGGAAAAAGGATCATCATAAGAAAACATAATAAAGGCTAAATAAAAGAGTACCCTGCAACTACCTCTTCCAAACTTTTGGACCAAAGTGACTTTTTTTTTAAATTTTTTACTTGCTTTCTTTGGCCTTTTAGTTCTGCCCTCAAGATAGCAAGCCTGTCACCTGCATATTAAAGAAAAATGATACAAGCTGAATACTTAATAGTCAGCAAAGAAATAGCTCCACTCTTAGATGAGCTTCTCCGAAATTCTACAATGCTTTTATTTATTTATATTTTTTGGGTGGAAGGGCTAAGAGCAAGGGAAGAGAAGGAAATACAAAGTGATAGCATGCAAAAGAGTTAAGTGAATCGTATAAGATTACAAGATTAACATTTTACTTAGGGAAAAAAAATTAAAATAGCCCAACAATAAAAGTAATTCATTTATTCTTTTTAAATAGATATTTATTTATTAAAAGAAAAATGTGCTAGTCTCTCTCTCTCTCTCTCTCCAATGCAAGCATTAAATCTGGCATCCACATGCTATTTCTAGAGAGATGAAACATGTCGATTAATTATTGCAACAAAAATTCCAAAAACAAAGATCAATATATTCCTAAAAATAAGTTGGAGGAGTAACCATTTCATATATCTCTCTCAACTTTTCCTCCTCTTTCTTATGCCATTTCTCACATCTGAGGAGTCCCAACAACAAAAGAAGCTAGATTTGAGAAAACAAAGAAAAATAACCCAAGATTGATCCACCTTCTACTTCTAGTGACATGTAGCTTTTTTCAATCAAGTCAAGATTGTACCACATCAAGAAGGGAACTCCTTTATTTTTTACAAGTTCAACCTAAAACATCATTCTCTTAATCTAATGAATGACTTTATTTTTTAAATGCATTTTTTTCTATGACCACACACTCGTTTCATTTATTTCATCAGCATTCATCTTATGGACAATAACATAAAGCATATGGCCTTTCAAGGTTATTTAACAAAATTATCCAACATCAAAGCTCTTATGATCCCACACTATCGCTAGAACACTTCTTATTTTATCCAATATTTTCTAATCCTATAAATAACATGATTCTCAAGTTCTCCCTTACGAATCATTGAACTTACAGAATAAAATGCTTCTTGATCATCAATAGGTTAGATTACAACTAATGCTAATATGTGTCAGATAACTTCAGAAGCATGCCCAAACTAAATATGTACTCCTTTTTTTCCTCTAAGTATTATACACCATCCATAGTGCATATCAACCAACTGAACATACCATTAAAACAATCCATTGAATTAAAAACTCAAGAAAATGTCAATCAATAGGAAAGCCATTGAGTTTATAGTTTAAAATAGTTCAATCTTGAAGTTTGATTCAGATAAACTCCACAAGTTACTCATGAAATTTTTAAATCTCAAATTGATGTGAAGTTCAAATGAATTAAAATGCTGAAAGGAGAATAATTTTAGGAACATTCAAGCCAAATAATCTGATATTGAAGATCAATAACCAACGTTGAATAGCTTGATTTCTTTTATGTTTTGATTGGATGCCAGGATATAGATATACAAATATTGATAGTAGATTTTTACATTGAATATCCGAAACGGAATATCTGAATATCTGAAACGGAATATCCAGATATCACCAGAGAAACCCTATAAGTACCCTATGGGTAATTTTGATATCTGCATTTATAAGCCAAAGTTTCACTTTTGAGGATGCTCAAAGTATATTGTACTAGAGTTAGTATTTGAATACCAAAGATATATATATATATATATATATATATATATGGCTCCAATAGTAAAAAAGTCAACAGAGTAGTGTCCCAAATTACCAGTTTCTCATCTCCAACAAAAAAAAAAAAAAAAAAAAACCTCAAACATGAAGGGGAAAAAAAAAGGAATTATCAATAGGATAAAAAAATAAGAGTTTTGTACATTAAGCTGTGTTGAAACTCCTCTAGTTTGAGAGCAAGGTGAGTTTTGTTTGTGTTCAGCAATTATTTGAGTGATAAAAAAGCATTTTCATTTTCTTTATAAGCAATTTTGCATGTGAGCAATCACCTAGGCTTGATATATGTCTGCTTAAACAATTTATTGCTAGTCTTTTCAGTGGAGTTCTGACAAGAATGTTGATAGTGGTGCCAAGAAGGTATATGTGGGACAAAAGAAGTCTTCTGCTATAAATGCCTGTCCAATTTCTCCCACTTTATATCTATTCTCTGCTGATGTTGTTCCACCTCTTCTCTCCTCATCTTCTGAGAGCTTAAAACTTTAATTTTTACAAGCTTTTGCTAATAACCATTCACACAATCTCTCAGATACCACTTTTGGACATAACATGTATAAAACAGTTCTCTACAATTATAAACTAAATATCCTCAAAAAGATTGCAGCACCTATGACATCAACTATTACAAAAGACTAATCCCCCAGCAGAACCCCCTTGTTTGAGGGTTTAAGTACAACTATCGGATTAGCAAGATGAAGTTATGAATGAGAGATAACAGTTATGAGATGTGAGATTTAAAAGAAGGCACATTTGTCCCCATGAAGGTCTTAAAATTATAAAAGTAACAAAATTTGGAAGCAAGAGGTCTAATGCTAAAATAAGAGGATTCCAATTTCAAGAGTATTAATACACTTATGCTCTCAATGCCACTAAGTTCAATCAGATAAAAACTTGAAAATCAGTCAAAGAGATTCAGAACAAGTTAACAGTGAGACATGAAGTATGCAGTAAAATCCAGGAAATGGATATGAATAGTTCATTCACAACTTTTAAATGCTTAGAAGGAAGGAAGCTTGAAGCATCCATTAGCGCCAAGTTCATAGAATTCAATGATATCAAAGTAAAGCTTGTAAAGGAACTCTTTTATTTATTGTCCAAGCCATGTACCCTAAAGTCACACATATTGAGTTGGTAAAGAACCTCCATGGGGACTTCACTTATTGAATCAATCTAAAGATAGCTGAGGCAAAGAATAAGAAGAAGAGAAATATTACTTTCAAGGTAAACACTCAAGATGAAGACTTTGATTATCTAACTGGTTGTAGTGAGGATAATTAGGCAGCCACAGCGTAGGGAGATACAGAAGGCTCCCGGTTAAAAATACAGAGAAATGAAAGGAAAAACTTTGAGAATAACCAAAATTCATCTTGGAGACATCCAAGTGGGAGTCAACCAAGGACCAAATCACTTTTTTCTTCTTTTTTTTTTTGTGCTATGTAATAGGGGGCATGATCAGGATTCAAACTCCTGACCAACCCTCCCCCAAAGAGGAGATAACTAACTCAGCAGGAGGCCATTGGTCAGACCAAATGACTTGCATGATTCCAAAAGGGTTGCCCCTTGGCCCTTACTGAAGTCCTCTTTTTTTTTTCTTTGTCCTCTCAACAATCCATTTACCAAAGTTGCTCAAAACTATTGCAAGAAGAAAAGAGCAATGGTAGTTATATTGTCTAACTTATCCCATATTTTAAATGAATGACAGGGATAAAGAGCAACAAACAAACCTTTTCTAGATGACTCAATAGAATGAATCAAAGGTAAAATATGTCTCAATCTTGTTCCTAAATTGCAAGATGCTTATAATAGCTTGTATGATGACTTTGTAAACATGAACTTGAAGTGTGTAGCTTTCAAAAGACAGTTGCTTCTAGATCAAGTATTTGAAATAGGAATAAGACAACATGGTTAAAAGTACATACCTTCTATAATCAGATTTGGAAAGTTTGAAAGTGTTTTGGCCTCAAACAATTATTTGAAACTATTTATTTAAGCATTAATTTGGTCATTTGACCTTTTGTTACAATATTATTCAATAAACATTATAGTGACCAAGTTAATTTAACCACTGTGGGAAAACACTTATTTACAGTTGGTTGTAATCTGTATATTTATTTTTCTATCTCTAGAATTAAGTATTTGTATCCCTAGAATTAAGGACAAAAAATTATGATAGACAATCCCTCAATCATAGGATCAGTTTTTAGGAAGATTTAGTTTCCTAATTTAACCCCTAGTTAGTTGTACATAAACCTAAGGTTCTTGTATAATTCTTTATGAGCAGTTTTTCAATATACATTCAGTTTTACTCTTAGTTTTTCACATAGTTTTATTTACTAGTTTTTTTACATGGTATCAGAGCTTTAGGCTCTTCTTGGGAAGCAAAATTTTTCAGCCTTTATTGCTGACTTCTATTTTAGGCCTTCATTGCCGAACCCTGTTAAAGCCTTCATAGCCATTTTATTTTTCCCTTCTTTCGCCTCCATTGCTAAGAGTCATTTCTAATTATATCTTAAGACTTGTTTCAGTTCAAAGAAAGATATCACTACCACCCTATTTGAGGAAATGTCAACTGGGAAAATCACCGGAATATTACAGATGTCTCGGAAACAAGGAGAGTTGGATAGAGAAGAGATTGGAAAGCTGAGAAAGCTATTGAAAACCCTTGAAAAGCCTATTGTGGTATGTTCCTTGGGTAAGGTCTCTAGTTCAGGTAAAGCTTCTGGTTCTCATGGATTAAATATCTCGGTTAAGCCTATTACGAGTTCTTGGGTCATTAACTCAGAAGCCACAAACCATATGACACATTTCTCACAAAAGTTTAGTACATACACCCTGTGTCCTAGTAATAAGAAAATTGTTGTTGCAGATGATTCACTTACTAAAGTAGCAGGATTAGGAGATATTCAAATTAATCCCTCGTTTGTTCTTAAAAATGTTCTCCATGTTTCTGAATTGTCTACTAATCTGATATCTATACAAAAACTTACCAGAGATATGAACTGCAAAGTGACTTTTTATCCCTCTTATTGTGAATTTTAATACCAGAGTTCGGGGAAGAGGATTGAACTTACTAAGGATAAGGATGAACTATACTATCTTGAGACATCAAACAACACAAGTAATATTAAGAATAGTTTATCTTTGTCATTTCTTTATGAAAAATCTTCCAATAAAGACAAAATCTGGCTTTATCATTTTCGTCTTGGACATCCTTCTTTTAGAACTTTGAGAAACATGTTTCCTTCTTTGTTCAAAGGATTAAACGTCGAAGATTTTCATTGTGATGTTTGTGAACTTGCAAAGCACAGATATGTCTTTTCCAATTAGTAACAAAAGAAGTTATACTCCCTTTTACTTGATTCATAGTGACATTTGGGGTCCCTTTACAATTCCTAATATTTTTTGTGCAAGATGGTTTGTTTCATTCATAGATGAATATACCAGGGTCTCTTGGGTTTTTTTACTTAAATCTAAATCAGATGTGAATAGTGTGTTTTTAAGCTTCCAAAATATGATCCAAAATCAATTTAGAGTAAGAATCAAGAGATTTAGGTCTGATAATGCAAGAGACTATTTCAACCAGAGTGTATCCACCTATTTCCAAAATGAGGGGATTACCCATGAGTCATCTTGTGTTAATACTCCACAACAGAACGGAGTGGCAGAGAGGAAAAATAGCCATTTACTAGCCACAACCCAAGCCTTCCTTTTTTAAGCAAATATACCCAAATTTTACTGGGGGGGAGCTATTCTCATTGCCACACACATTATAAATAGGTTACCTTCAAGGGTTTTGGGATTTAAAACTCCTATGGAACTACTTTCACAATCCTATCTCAACCTCAATACCACAAACAACCTCACACCTAGGATATTTGATTGTACATCATTTGTTCATGTTCACAGTCATAATAAGGGAAAGTTGGATCCAAGAGCAATTAAGTGTATCTTTGTGGGGTATTCATCAACTCAGAAAGGGTATAAGTGCTATCATCCTCCTACTCAAAAAATTTCATGTGTTTGCAGATGTCACTTTTGAAGAAAGTAAACCATTTTTTACTCAACTTTATCTTCAGGGGGAGACTTCATTCATGGAAAATAATGATAAAGACTTCTTTTTGCTTGATTTGTCCTCCTCTTCAACATTTTCACCCATTAATTCTTCTTAGTCGAAACCTATTTCTGTTGAGCGCAAGTCAAACACTGAATTTGAGTCCGAACCCATTCCAAACACAGATGACCTGACATAGAATAATATTGTTCTTAATTCTATGAAGGAATTACAGGTGTACTCAAGAAGAAAAGTTCCAAATCCTGAACCAGTGCCAGTCCAAGAACCTAATCCTAACTTTGGAAATGAGGTAACTACAATTTTTGACTCTGTTTCTCAAAATGAGCATGAATCTCCTAAAACTATCACTAGTGATTATGACCTACCTATTCCATTAGGAAAGGAACCAGAGAATGTACTAAGCATCCACTATACCCAATCTTTAATTTTGTGTCATTTGAAAAATTCTTACCATCCCACAAAAATTTTCTTATGAGCTTAAACACTATTTCTATTCCAACTACATTATCCAAGGCATTATCCAGTGAAAAATAGAGGCAAGCCATGAAAATAGAAATGGAGGCCTTAGAGAAAAATAAGACATAGGAACTGGTAGAGTTGCCTAAAGGAAAAAATCCAGTGGGGTGTAAATGGGTTTTCACTATAAAATACAAGGTGGACGGTACTATTGAAAGGTATAAAGCTAGGTTAGTGGCCGAGGGCTACACTCAAACTTATGGAGTGGATTATCAGGAAGCCTTTGCTCCAGTTGCCAAGATGAATACAGCTAGGATTTTGTTATCATTGGCTGCAAATTACAATTGGCAGCTTCAACAATTTCAGGTAAAGAATGCTTTTCTACATGGTGATTTGGAAGAAGAAATATATATGAAGGTTCCACCGGGATTTAGAGATCATCTAGAAGCAAACAAAGTATGCAAACTGAAAAAGGCTTTATATGGCCTTAAACAGTCTCCTAAAGCCTGGTTCGGGAGATTTGCCAAAGTGATGCTAGCAATGGGAAACAAAGTCAAGGAGATCCCACATTGTTTATCAAGCACTTTGATTCAGGGAGAGTCATAGTTCTATTACTGTATGTTGATATAATTGTAATTGGAGATGATGAAAAAGAGAGAAAATCTCTAAAACAGTGTTTGGCTAGAGAATTTGAGATAAAAAAGCAAGGGAGATTGAAGTACTTCCTAGGAATTAAAGTAGCTCACTCACGGCATGGTATTTTCATCTCACAATAGAAATATGTGATGGATCTTCTTAAGGAAACTGGGAAGCTCGCATGTAAACCTGCAAATACCCCTATAGATCCTAATCATAAAATTAGAAAAGCTAATGAAAATGCTGCTGTAGATAGAGAGATGTACCAAAGATTAGTTGGAAAACTCATTTACCTCTCACATACCTGATATAGCATATGCTGTGAATGTGGTAAGTCAATTTATGCATAGTCCTAAAGAAGTGCACCTAGAGGCTGTCTACCGTGTATTACACTATTTGAAGGCCAATCCTGGCAGAGGTATCTTATTCAAAAGAAATTCGGGGCTAGTTCTAGAAACATATACAAATGCTGATTATGCCTCAGGTTCAATAACTGATAGAAGATCCACCTCAGGCTACTACACTTTCTTAAGTGATAATCTTGTGACTTAGAGGAGTAAAAAACAGAATGTAGTGGTAAGATCAAGTGCTGAAGCAGAGTTCAGAGCAATGGCTCAAGGAATTTGTGAACTACTATGGTTAAAGATTATCCTAGAAGACTTGAAGATCAAGCACGATGGACCAATGAGACTCTACTGTGATAACAAGTCTGCAATAAGCATTGCACACAATCCTGTGCAACATGACAAAACAAAACACATTGAAGTAGACCGGCATTTCATAAAGGAGAAACTAGACAGTGGGTTGATTTGTACACCTTATGTATCAACCAAGGGTCAACTTGCAGATGTGTTAACTAAAGGTCTCAGCAGTGCAACATTTCAAGAAATTATTTCCCAACTAGGAATGGAAAGCACCTATTCACCAGCTTGAGGGGGAGTGTGGGAAAACACTTATTTATAGCTGGATGTAATCTTGTAATCTGCATATTTATTTTTGCATCTCTAGAATTAAGTATTTGTATCCCTAGAATTAAGGACAAAAAATTAGAATAGACAATCCCTCAATCATAAGATCAGTTTTTAGGAAGATTTAGTTTCCTAGTTTAACCTCTAGTTAGTTGTATATAAACCTAAGGTTCTTGTATAAGATTTAGTTTCCTAGTTTAACCCCTAGTTAGTTGAATATAAACCTAAGGTTCTTGTATAATTCTTTATGAGCAATTTTTCAATATACATTCAGTTTTACTCTTAGTTTTTCAAACAGTATTAGTTTTTCCAAAACCACCTTCATTCATTATCATTTGAATGGTTCTAAATGTCTCAGTTATTTTGGTTTTTCTCTTTTGGTCATGAAATATAGCATAATTCTCGCTTGCATAACAAATATTCTAAGCAACATGGATAGCACATGTCAAATCAAGAATGATTTACAGAAATTATACGTAAACACGAAATCAAAGGTAATGTAGAAGTCACCTTTCAGAGGAGCAGCTGAATTATCTTCCTCTTGACACTTTCGTAAGTAATCTTGCTCGAACTTGTCCAAAACCTGCAATTCCTGGTATAGTTCCTGCAATGCAAAAGTGATTTTGTTGTTCCTTCTTATAGTTGCTAATTTACCATACAATACTAAATTCCCAAAATATTATGCATTGCACCGAGACACATGAATAAAAAGTACCTATGATATGTTTACGGCTAGTACACCAGGGTTCGCAGCTAAAAACATGTAATGCAAATAACAGTGTAATTAAGGAAAGACAAGATCGAACACAAAGAGGGTACCTAGAATATGGTCATTATATAATGTTGGCTTATTAGTTTATTATAAGTTAGAATGGTCATTATTAAGTCTTATTTTTCAAACTGCTTGGGTGCTAGGAAATGGACCATTTTATTTGTTTGAGTTTTTCTTTCCATTAAGAGTTTTGTATTTTTGGCAATTTCCAAATTTGCAGCAAATTTCTGGAAAGAATTATTTGAATACTTTTCAATGCTCATGTCATATTGGGTTTTAGATATAATTTTTGGAGTTCTTTGAAGGTCAACTTTACAAGTTCCCAATCCTGGCACTCAAGTCCTGACAAGAATATTGGCCAAAAAAAGTCCCGACGAGAATATGATAGTTTGAAGTCTCTGACCATAAATGAACGATGAGAGAACTCAATAGAAATCCAAATCTATAAATAGTATATTAGTATTCAGTGACACAAAGTATAAAACTTACAGCTGTATGCTGAACCGAAATCATCAACTGCTCTCTCACTAATTCTGCTTCTTCCTTCATTTGTTTCTGAGGAGTAAGTTCTCTACTGATTCTGGAAAAATGAAAACAACACGTCACTCAAACGAAGCACATTTATCACATTGAAAATAATATTCACGGTGACCAAAAGAACAGTATTCCCAGAACTACTACATAATAGGCATTACTTTTCAAAATAACGTTCCAAGTTGTGCCATTGAGGATCCTTTGAACGGTTTCCAAAACGAACCACTTCTCCTGAAAAAGTTTTCAACTCTTCCCTGCGAATATTGAGTTAAACAGATTCTTAAAAATTGAGCATGATTTAATAGATTATCAGGAAGACCATTGTCAAACAAATTAAATACGAAAAGGATAGTTGAAAGAATTATCGTGGGTAGTCGAGACTTGATACCATAGTTACCTTTTGTCACCAGCAACAATCCTTAAGAGTTCATCCATATCTTCAGATATTAAATTTTGCACACCATCTGCAGCAAGTACCACTTCTTTTAAATGCCTTATGTTTCTTCTAGAAAGGGATTGCATAAGATTTGAACCCTTTACAATCGTGTTTGCGACCTCAAAGGCTAATATTGAAAGTTCATTGCCTTTAGTTGCCACTCCAGGAGCAAATCCAGCACTAGAATTTAAACTTGTCATACTACTCCCTAGAGTATCCAACACCTCCACTGCTTTTCCCAGTCCAACTGAACCAGCTTTGCCTAAACGTGAACTCACCTCTGAAACCTGCAATATTAACAGCCAACCCCAAAGTTATGGGATATAAGGCTTACTTTGTTGTTTTTGTGGTATAAACAGCATTATGCTGATTAGGTTATTAATAAAAAAAATATCAAATCCTGTAATAGTTAGGATAAAGATGAATGCGCAGGAGTTCAGTGGAGTTCATTAAAAGAAAACTGAAAATCAAAGCTAGTATATTAACAGAGTTTGTTAAATAGACAACATACACAAAAATTCAAAAAAATTTTACACATTTTAGTAATTTATTCATTTAGATGGTCATTTAACTAAAAATTATGATAAACCCTCCGTTCATCCATAAACTAATGATTGAATTTTGTGTAGAAATGCTTATTTCAATTAAACTTTTACATATTATTTGTCCACTCATTTCGTCCTAATGATTTTCAAATTTAGTTCTCATTCAACCATATTATATCGGAGATTTTCAAAGTTTTAGCAAACATTAAAAACATTTTTAACGAAAGCAAGAGATGAAAGTCTTAAAGCCCAGAATTTGAAGGTTACCTTAATAACAGCAGGGTGGTTGGACCTAACCGATCTAGATTTATGGGACATAGCCCTTGTAAAACGCGGGATTCCATCGTAGAAGTCATCGGCGGTTTCCTCAATCCTCTTCTCTATGATTTCCCTCGCTTGGGATGGACCCATCAACCTAGTTTCCGAACTAGCCTTACTCTCATCATGATTGAGGAGATTATCACCGCCATGCCTATTTCCAACTTCATTCTCTTTGACGCCGCTCCTCGAACAGATCCCTCCCATTGTTCTGCTTCACCTGATTATTCCACTCCAACATTAAAATATATATTATAGAAATATAAATAAATAAATGAAAAGGAGATGATCATCTTACCAGCATAAACCAAAAGAAGAAAGAAGAAAATGGAGTTGAAGTGAAAGTCGACCCAGTCGGCCATCCCGCTACGAATAATATTGTATTTTTTAATAAATAATAATAATACAGTAGAAAAAAAGCAACCCAACTCAAACAAAGCAGCAGCTTGCTGTGAGACTGAGACCACCAGGTTGGACTTTGAGAAACATAACATCTATTATGAGAATTGGTCAAATTTTCTCTTTTGCAAACCTTTCTTTTTACGCTGACTGAGTCTCACACATTGCCTTTCATTTTTTTGTGTTCAACAAGGTCAATTATTTAGTATTTTTGAGGGCGGAAAGCTCCTTACTGTAAGCTTCCCATAAGCCTCAAACCTGTTGACTTTGTTTTCGGTCCAGGTAGGATAAATGGTGATCTGAACGTTGTATGAGGGATAATCTATATTTGCGGTAGAAAAGTATAGTCAAAGAGCTTAGTTCTCTCAGATACACTATGACACTTAAGTCAATCAAGATTTTTGGAATAAAAAGATGAATTAGAGAGAGTACTAAGAAAGCTTAAAGAAAAAAAAAATTTAGAGTTTTTTACTATACTTAAATTTCCTTTTTATCTTGTATATAAGAGAAAGCGTGGTGACATAATCAAAGTTATTAAAAAATGATGGTAAATTTATGTAAAACTCGAAGAAGGGTCATGTGATTGAGTATGGGTTACATTTAATAATTTTAGACCAACATGAATTACATATAATGATCCTAGATAAATTAAAGGTAAAATGATACCTTGATGAAAGTTAGTGGAGGTCATTAGGCGAGTCCTATTTGGGCAAGAGTGAGCTCGTTTTATGGCGAAAATTTTGGATGTCAACCCTTTTTGGTAATGACATGGCAATCTAGAGCATACTAATTTATTGAGCATAGGTATTGACTTTGTTGATTAAGTAAGTAGGTATAACATTTACCTCGAAGTTTGAGAGAAGTTACAAATTGATCATTCTCAAATCTTTGGGAGGTCTCGTCATAGAGATTTAGTAAGTTGAGTCGAGTCGAAAAAATTCATATTAGCAAGCTTTCTTTAAGACATATTGATGATATGTCTATGTTAGGCAAAGGGACTTAATGTTAGTGAGCCAGGCTGATGACATCCCTGATGGGTAAAAGACTCTATCTTGGTGAACAAGATGTGTGCCTTGTCAAAACACAAGGACTAGTAGGTGAAGATTTAGAAAAAAAATTTTTGTCCCAAACATTGTACATCACATACAATTCGAGTGGGTGGAGAACGTATTCAAATGCGTTTTGAGGCATGCACCCGTGTTTCTAAAATATTCAACTATACAGGACACATAGTGCAATAGGGTTGAAAAGTCGTCAAAATCAATAAATGGCTTAAATTTTAAATTGTACCGATTCAAAGAAAAGGGAATAAATGTCTTTTTGAAAAAATTGTGTAACTGAAGTGTCAATTCAAATTTGGAAGTAACTTGGACTATTTTGTTAACCAGTTAAAATGGTATTTTAATTCATACCATTTCAGTAGAGTGTTTGGCTAAGTATAACTAGAGAAAGAAGAAAAACTTAGTTAATTTTTTAGCAAGAAAGGTAATTGGCTATTTAGGTCTCGTAAATGTTGTGTTTGTGCTATTTGATTTCAAAAAGTTCTTTTGAGTAAGTACTTTTTTAGGTTTTTGTTTGCTTGTTAATTTTTAACTGATTTGTAAAAATAGCACTAAAAAATAGAGTGGTGATTGAGGACTTAAGAAATGATAAGGGCAATAGGGTGCTAATTAGTAGCAGTGGTGCTCAAATAAGGGAGAAGGGGCTCAGAAAAAGGGTCATGAAGGCCAAGATCTCAAAGTAGTGGTGATCGTGATCGCGGCATAGTGATTAAAGTGTAAAAGCTCTTGGTTCTAAGGCAAATGCCTTTAACAATAGTAAAGGAAAAAGAAAAATGTGGTGGTAGAAAAGCCAAAAGACCTCATGCCAAAAATGTGGCCACCAAACGTGTATCAATCTATAGCCACTATGAGCATGGCAAACCAGGCCTTAGACCGTATGGCTTGTAATTCAAAGAACTCAATATTCTTTGTCTCGCTACCCTCTGAGGTTTTCTTATTAGCCAAATTAGGGTAAATGAAGGACTAGTCTCAACTTCCTCTATGGGTTTCACTTGCTATTGCACCTAACTCATTATACTTTTGTTCCATTTCTTTTGATTATCTTCTTAATTCATATTTGGATCATTTTTTAGACCTTGATTCCTATCACATATGCAATGGCTCCATTGTTAACAATGCTTACAGTCATAAAGTTCAACTTTTGAACTTTCTTGATCTAAAATTCTTTTTTTTTTTTACCTTAAAGAAAAAATTGTTTACAATATGGGTTTATAAAATTAATAGTCATAAATATGCTTAAAACTCTTTCAAACTAATTTTATCATCACATAGAGTAAAATATAATCACTTTGTAACTTGCTATTATTCTTATCGAATGATAGCTAAATATGAAGCAACCATCTATATGGTTTTCAACCCTTTTATATACTAAAACATTTAGTATAGTACATAACATCTAAATATAACAGATACAACTTTTGATATTGTATTCTATCCACGTTATCTTTTTCTTTTTTTATGTCTTGTGACACTTACCTTTAGAGAGATTCATGTAATACAACATAGATAACTATTTTTTACTAAACTCTTTTAGCATCTTATCTATGTGTATACTATGTAACCTAGATAGGGATCTACTTTTAGATTCCATTATGCTAAACTCTTTTAGCACTTTGACTATGTTTATGGATTTATGAGAATTATGCAACCCTTTGGATCAATCCTTATAGAGCTTTATCCCATTATATGTATTGCCTCTCTTATATCTAATATGTTTAGATAACTTAATCTATAGATTGTAGTATAGGGACTTGGTTTTCAATGCACTATATGTCATCTACATAAAGCTTTACCAAAATGATTATATTTATCAATGTACTATATGTCATCATAGTATTTGATGATATCAAACTCTTTTGATTACCTCATAAAACTAAATCTTCATCTTTTTTTGTAGTCTCATCATTTATGAGAAATACATCTTTGTCCATAAGAAATCTATATTTTTTTAGAAATCAATGTATCATACTTGTCATTTGGAGTTTATGTGTATTTTGAGATTTTAACTGCAAACTCCATGCCTTAGTTTCTAGCCTATGTTCCATCGAAATACTTAGTTTGTGTTCTTAAACTTTTCAAGTTCAACTTTACTCCTACTGCCTTTTTCTTTTAGAAAATGGCATGCAATGGAACAAACACCTTTGTTCATTAGGATTGTAGAATTAATATCTAACATTTTGGATATCCACAAACTTACATTTATCCAACCAAGCTCCAAGCTTGTTGAATGATGTATAATTTGCAAGTCATGCATTTTTCAAATCTTTTAATTATGACATGTGTAGCATCTTGTCATTCCATATTTCATATTTTATCATGTCATTGGATTTGGATGACCCTCTATTTAGTAAGTAAGTATTAGTCTCTAGGGTATATCATTTAAGGAAGTAGGAAGATTATATATCAAGAATCAAACCATGTCTAACAAGTTCAGTTTCTCCACTTAGAATTGTTATCTTTGATCATAGAGTTTCCAACAAAATCCATATGAGAGAATCTAATTCTTTTAGATAATCCAATTCTTTTAGGCTTAAGCTGTTTACCTATCAGATCTTGGTATTAAGATACTTTGCAAATTCAATTTTCAATCTCACTTTTAAACTCTTTAAACCTTTCAAAAGATTTAGACTTATGCTTTACTAGATTCATATAACCATACTTTGAATGATCTTCAATGATTGTTAGTGAAATAGAAACATTCTCCTCTTAGCATTTAGATTCACTAGACACAATACATTCAAATGTATAAGTCTAAAAAGCATACTAGCTCTATATTTATTTTCAAGTAAAAGGTAATTTGATCATTTTTAAAGCAAATATAATTCACAAGTTTCATAAAATTCATAATCATAAGGATCAAGATATCCTTGTTTATGTAACTTTGTGATTCTTGTTTCTTTGATATAACCAAATCTATAATGCCACATGTAAGTTTGATTTGGTTTATCTAGATAAGTTTTTCTTGGCATTTATATTGAGAATTGGATTTTATACTTTTCTTTACAAATGAGAACTTTATTTAGTATCTAATACTAATGAACGAGAAGTTTTGTCAATCATAAATTATACTTGAAGTAGAAACTTCTCTAAGCTTCTTCTCGTTCAAGCTTTACCAAGTAAAACTATCGATTTTATCTTTCAATAACTTATCTTGTCATCATATGACAAGTGCCCTTGTCTTTATCCTTTTTTATTCTACCTTTTTGCCTAGCAACTTATGATACCTTGCTTTCTTTTTTTTATTCTTCTTAAGGAACCATTCCTAATCTTAGAAGACGAAACAAGAACAAAAGTACCCTTTCGATATTACTTTAGAAACTTAGAACTCGTTATAGCTAATATCATTTATGTGGATTCATCAATATCATCTCTATGATTTTGATAGATTTCTAGTCTCTTAATATCCTCAATAAGGATAGGTAGAATCAAACAAACAAATTCTTTTCTTCTTTGAGAACTATTCTCAAGTCTTTGTACCAACCAAAAAGCCTTAGCCAAGTTAGCATCATATATGCTTTAAATTGACAAGTTATTATTCTATATTCTAAAAACCATACAAGTATAACGTACAAACAAGTAAAAGTCATATTGCATTAAACTAATTTAAATATGGTCTTTTATCTTTTAATTGTTTGCTCCCACTATTTTTGATCCAATTAATAACCCTCACTATTAATTTGGAAAAATGATATTTTTCTAGTGAGTTAGGATCCTATTTAGTTTATCATAACTTGAGTTTATCCCAATAAGTTATGATATGTAAATTCGGTAGATAATTTGCTTATCAATCACATCCCATGTGACTCCTAAATTAATTAGTTAACAACTCTTTATCTAATTACATCTTATGTGATTTGCCCAATTATTGCCTATAACATTATATAATCAAGTTTTGCCCATCCGAACAAAATAATTTCAGTTAAGTAAGATACATTAATCATAATACAACTTTATTTCGAATACTAAGTGCCTTGAGTATAGTCTCAACAAGCCTTACTAGTAGAAAATTTTGTTGTTTATGTTAATGGAAGGCACCAAGATTTAATATTTTTCATGAAGGATTTTTAATTTATCATAGGTTTCATATGGCATGCATAAGAATTAATCATATATCCAATACATGTAATCTTATCATGCATCTTACAATTGCACATAGCATTTATCACACATAAATTCTAGCATATATAATAACAAACCACATAGCATACATGGTAGTTATCTCATATAGCATGTATAAGTATTTATCATATATCACATCATGTAATCCATGCTCA